ACATTTTGAGCATGTTTTACTGTATCAGTCTCTTTTTCTTTTTTGGCCCCTTGAACTTGGCAAATAGGACATTGCACACAGCCGTATTGTGCCGTCAGCCCATTTCGTAGGGACGTTTCTCGGCCACCAAAGTGTTACATTTGTAGCGGACATAAGGCATTGAAGGTAGAAGTACTGCTTTAGCAAAAATTTTTTTTTTGGATTTTTTACTGTATTAGTCTTTGTTTATGGCCCCTTGAACTTTGCAAATAGGACAATGCACACAGCATTGTTGCGGAATAAGCCATTTACAGTGCAGGGTTTATTGGCCAAATAAACATCATCAAACAAGACACAGCCATATTGTGGCATCAGCCCACTTCACTGCGCGGTTTCCAGCCGCCACAGAGTTAAATTCATTAAAGTGGCTCCAACAGTATCCAACAGTGTTTTGTTTTGATGTTTCAGGATTCTCACTCTTTTTCTTTGTGGAAGGGGCTGAACATGACACTGTAGTAGGGTTGCCGCGGTGAGGAAAATTTCCCACCGGTTAATCGACGTGTGACAACACCGGTAATCCCGGTGTCACCGTGGAGGGCAGGGCGGGGGGGTTAAATAGCTTTTAAATGCGTGCGCGTTATACTTTCACTTTCGAAATAAGCGTCAATTGCTTGAATGGACAAAAAAAACAACTCGCTGATAATAAAACTTTTATTTATAGACTTTTATTAGCATAACGAACGAATAAAAATAACCCCATGCATAGGCTGAAAAAAGTGAAAATCGGCAAAATGTGGGCCCAAACAAATTAGAACTATAAAACGTTTATTAACGAATAAGAAAATAAAATAGGCCTAAATAAATTACACAAAGTTTAAATGAGATAAAACCAATTAAAAAGAGACGAATATAAAATAAAAACTTCAAAACGGACCTTAGCCTACATAAATGACATACTTTCACTTTCGAAATAAGCGTCAATTGCTGGAATGGACAAAAAAAAAAAAAAAAAAAACTCGCTGACAATAAACTTTTATTTAGACAGCACTTTTATTAGAATAATAAACGAATAAAATATAGACAGAACTTTATTAGCATAAACGAACGAATAAAAATAAAGTGAAAATCGGCAAACTGTGGCCCAAAAAAAAAAATAAAACGTTTATTAACGAATAAGAAAACAAAATAGGCCTAAATAAATTAAACAAAGTTTAAATAAGATAAAACCAAATAAAAAGAGACGAATATAAAATAAAAACTTTAAAAGGACCTTAGCCTACATAAATGACAGCACTCTAAAAAAAAGTAAATTGGCATTTATTAACATTAATAATATATTGGCCAAAATATTTGCAAACAGGCGCTTTTGCATTGCGTTTTGACACCAAATCTTCCGCCATTATCTTGCTTTTCTGTAATTTGACTCGTTCTCGTCTCCACACGTGCTAAATGGAATCCTGATGCTTGCTGATCTGTGACGTGACGGCACGCGTTGCGCAGTTCATTTTTAATTATAATGCTCTCTTCAGAACTAAATAATTGAAAATTATTATTTTTATTAATTCAAATAAATATTTTAGCAAAAACGAATACTTTAAAAAAAAAGTCAAGACATCGCGGTGTCACGGTGGGAAAGTGATGTCACCGGTGATGGGGCTTAAAACCGGTAACACCGTCAACACCGTCTATCGCGGCAAGCCTACACTGTAGAAGAATATCTCATCTTAATCCACAAATTTTATTTTATTTCATGTTTCAGACATTCTCAATCATTCTCTTTGTGGAATAGTCTGATCATGACACTAAAGACGACCTCATCTTAATCCATGTAACCTGACCAAACATGGGCAAGTCAGTGAGTCCACCCTCAGTCCTGCTGGGAGGGTCAATAGCACAGTTCATACTTTTATTTCCACATTTCTCTCCATTTTATTGATTAATGTTTTCTTTCGGAGCGAGACGGTACTTTTATTGCTTTGGCTTTTGTGATATGTTTTTGTTTTGGCTGAAGAGTGCGGAGCACGCTCGTATATCATGAAGTTCTGCACAGTTTGCCTTCGCTAGCCCGTGGTGTTCGTCAGTAATTAGACCAAAGTCACTGAGGTGGCCAAGTTCAACCTCTTCATTAAGCTTCCTCTCCTCACGGCAACAGCTGTAAATGGTGAGAGAACTATCATTCTGAGGTGCTGTGTGGAAATGTAAAATACATTTACAGTGGCATCCGAAAGTCTGAGACCACTCTGAAATTCTAGCATTCAGAATCCAGTTTAGAGCTGTACATTTTGAACAAATGAACATTATGAAATGAATAGATTTGAATTAAAAATGCATTCTGAAATTCATGGACATTTTTCAACTTTTCACTAATATATTAATGAACTAATCTAAATGCCATTTTCACTAGAGATGTCACACTTGTTGACCATACTGTATAGGAGGGTGTTTTTTCAACTATGCCCACATTTTTTTCACACTTTCAATAGCTAACTAACTCCCTACTAACACTATCCAACATAAATGTATTATTTGTTTTATGATTAAATAAATAAATAAATAAATATATATATATATATATATATATAAAATGTATATATATATATATATATATATATATAATATATATATATATATATAAGGGCTGTGTGCAAAAAATAATTGCGATTAATTGCATCCAAAATAAAAGTCTATGTTTACATTATATATTTGTGTGTGCTGTATATAATTATTTTGTATATATAAATACACACACATGCATGTATATATGTAAGAAAATGTGTTATTCATATATAAAATATTTATATTTATATAATATAGATTATGTATTTAATATATATATATATATATATATATATACAGAATTTAAGCGCAAATAATTATTAAATATATACATGCATGCATAGGTATTTATATATACAAAATAATTATATACAGCACACACAAATATATTATGTAAACACAGACTTTTATTTTGGATGCGATTAATCGCAATTAACTTTTGCACAGCCCTAATATATATATATATATATATATATATATATATATAAATATATTATTATGTGCCAGAATTAAGAAAGGAATTTGATAAAACTGATAAACTTGATTGGAAATAAAATACAATAAAAAAATATTTTGTTATATTTATATTTTTTTCACTTATGTCTCATATATCAAGTATGTTGTCTCCTTGGAAAATAAGGAGTCATTGTGAAAATGGTTCACTGAGTGATTGATCAAGGTGAAAATGATGCAGTAACTTTACATTTTTATGATGTATTTTTTTTCCCCCATAGTTTAAGATGAATAGTCTAGATCTGGGCCAAGGGTAGAACAAATCTATACATATGGTCAAGGCCTTTGAAAAATAGCAAGAATAAATGTTGAAGGCAAGATAAAATGCTTCCAATGTGATCTTCATATTGAAAAAAGAAGGGGGAAAAAAGGTTAATATGTTAGTTTTAATCAAGGTGGCAAAAGTTAAAGATACACCCAGTAAGTGTTTAGTTAGAATGACCACAGTTCACCCCAAAATGAAAATTTGCTGTTAATTTATACTCACCCTCAGGCCATCCAAAATCTAGGTGACTTTTCTTTTCTTTTGGAGAACAGACAGTAGATTTGTTTTGCTGAAACTGCAAGTCAATGGCTATCACTTTAAGACTAAGAGTAAAAAAACACACACACACAAAAAAAAAAAACACAGGCAAAACAAAATTAATACCCGTGTCTCCTGACAATACATTGAGGTGTTATGAAGTGAAACGATCAGTCTGTGCAAGAAATTGAACATTATTTACAACATTATTACAGTAATCCACAGCCTCGGCAAACGGTCCTGAGCGTGCTCACAACAGTCTGGAGCGCGAGCTTCCTGTCGCGTAATGACGGAGCTCAAGTGTCGGGAATCTGTGAAAAGTCGATCTTTCCAATTGAGTTCACGCATATGCTATAGGTTGGTGCATCCAGGATAAGTACAATTTTGATGAACAATACAACACAGCAGTTCGTTCCTCGGCTCACGTGTGAGTTTGCGCCTGCGTATACGCCATTATGCAGCAGGAAGCTTACGCTCGTTAACGCGTTTAGGACTGTTTGTCGAGGCTGTATTACAGGTAATAATGTTCAGTTTCTTGCACAGACTGATCGTTTTGCTTCATAAGACCTCAATGTATCACCTGGAGCCACGTGTATTGGTTTTGTTTTACCCTTATATGTTTTTTGACTCTCAAAGTAACGGTAGCCATTGACTTGCAATATATACGAATCGCCAAAGTCCACGGTTTCAATCTTTTTTAACGTTACTTTTCTACTGAGGAAAACTGACTCAAACATTTTGGATGGCCTGGGGTTGAGTAAATCAACAGCAAATTTTCATTTTTGGGCGAACTAATACATTAGCCAGAGGGATGTGGCGATTCGTTCCTTCGTGAGTCAGATCGGCGTGTTCAAGCAGGTTAAGTGCAGGTGAGTGCGAGACAACTTCGGCACGGTGGCGTCTCTCCCCCCTCTCGGGGACCCGGGAAGAGCTTTCCCAATAGATCTTTATTTACAGCACAGGAGTCGGAAACGGCTGGTCAATCCATTTAGCCTGAGGCCACTGATTTGTTCGTATTTACTGCAACACCCAAAGAAAAGCCAAGGTATTTTTCCCTCTCTCCTTCCTATTGATTCGGCTCTTAGAAAATCTGCTCTGCTGTCTAAACACTATTGATCCTCCTGCTCTCCTCGCCAGCTCTTGCACCAGTGTATAAAGGGACTGGATGAATTGAAATTTCATTTCCGACAACTTGTTCCTTTTATTTTTAACTTTTTTTTCTTATGAGAAGCAAGACTCAGTCAGCATGGGTCAATAGCCACATGAAGGCTGAAGGTAGAGGTCAGTAGAGGTGAACTGCACTCCTGACGGCCTTTACTGTATGTGTGGACTGCCATGAGGGCCGAATATGATCAAAACGAGGTGTCATGGAATCAGTTTTTTAGTGCTAACGTTTAAATGACCCGTGTGTTTGTGTGTCTAACTCCAGGAATCATGTGGGCTTCAGAGGGCACGAGAGGAGCTGACGGCGAGAGAAGAGAGATCTTCCCTTCAGGAGCAGCTCAACAGCGTAAGAGAGGAGCTCCACAGCGCCACCATCAGGGTAATCTTTCCTCCCATTAAAGAAGTAGTTCACTTTTCAAAAAACTTTTGCTGATAATTTACTCACCCCCATGTCATCCAAGATGTCCACACCTTTCTTTCTTCAGTCGAAAAGAAATTAAGTTTTTTGATAAACATTCCAGGATTTTTCTCCATATAATGGACTTCATTGGGTACCAAACGGTTCAAGGTATAAAGAGTTTCAGTGCAGCTTCAGACGATGAATAAGGGTCATTTCAAAAATAAATAAAAAAGTTTATTTATGAATAAACCAAATGACTTGAAAAAGATTAGTTCATTTTGATGAACGAGTTCGAACAGGAGAGTCACGAACAGAGCAAGGCGAGCATTTGTGCTTATAAAACTTTTTATTTATTTTTGAAATGACCGATTGTTTCGCTAGATAAGACCCTTATTCATTGTCTGGAATCGTTTAAAGCCCTTTGAAACTGCACTGAAACCCTCATTCAGACCTTGAACCGTTTGGTTCCCATTGAAGTCCATTATATGGAGAAAAATCCTGGAACGTTTTCATCTAAAACCTTAATTTCTTTTTGACTGAAAAAAGAAAGAAATGGACATCTTGGATGACATGGGGGTGAGTAAATTATCAGCAAAAGTTTTTTTTTAAAAGTGAACTACTCCTTTAACCCATTTTTTTTTCACATTTCAAGTGTTATCAGAGTCATCAATAAGTTGAACTTCAACTTAAGGGTGAACTTCTATACTGGTGAACAGTCCATGTCTTTCTTTCTTCAGTCGAAAAGAAATTAAGGTTTTTCATGAAAACATTCCAGGATTTTCTCCATATAATGCACTTCATTGGGAACCAAACAGTTCAAGGTCCAAATGAGTTTCAGTGCAGCTTCAAAGGGCTTTAAACGATTCCAGACGACGAATAATGGTCTTATCAAGCAAAACGATCGGCCATTTCCAAAATAAATGAAAAAGTTTACGTTTTATAACCACAAATGGTTGGCTTGCTCTGTTCTGTGATGATTGTTCGTGACTCTCCTGTTCGAACTCGTTCATCAAAATGAACAAATCTTTTTCCGAGTCATTTGGTTGATTCAACTAACAAAATCAAGTTCGAACAGGAAAGTCACAAACCCATGTTAATATGTTCAACTTTACAGCAATTTTGCCCTTCATGACAACTGTGAGGGGGGTTCATTTTTGTATAACTCATCCATTTAAATTATATTAAGCCTTAAAGGTCTGCATAATTAAAGTCATGGCCACTTGCAGCTGCTGTCTACTAGCCGTTTGTCTGCTGTCAACCAGGGACCTCAGCTCCACCCACGTCCCGCCTCTTTGTTATCTTTGAGTGACGCGCTGCCAACATGCCGACGGCCGGCTCCACCCTCTTTAGGCTTCCAAAATGCTCTTCGTAAACCTACGGGTGACGTCACATATTTAATTTACACTCTATGGTCCCTCCTCTACTGTTTGTTACTGACTGAGATGAAGTAACCTGTAAGTGTAAACCACCTCCCAACCAGGGGAGAGAGGAGCTGCTTTTACTAAATAGAATGTTTTTGTGGTTTTCATTAAACTCAGGGATACCAGTGTAATATATTTAAACTATAATGATTTATAAGAGTAGGGGAATATAAAACATAACTACTTGATTTATTCGGCCCCAAATATCATTCAAAATACCACAGTAGCATTTCTATGACTTTACAAAAGACAATTTTTGAGAGATTGATTGTAGTGGCCAGAAGAGAGAACGATGTCAAATCTGCATTGTTGTATTAGAAACGCTCGCATAGCAGAAAGTGTGTTATAAATAGGCTACACATTATAAAAAAAGTTGCTAGATTTACAATGTTAATAACTGTAGACACGTGTGGTCCACGCTGCTCAAAAGGGGGAAGCCTTGTTTTAATTATCATAAATATTCATATAACGACCACCAGCCCCAACCCCACATTCCATTCCCGGCTCTGTTGATGCATATTTTAATAGATTATCATTACCGTCGTCGTAACTCTTATTACTGTAGGCGTAATTACCAGATTTACGGCGGGATATTATTTTCGTCCCCTGCAGCCATTTTGCTCAGCAAACCCAATTTTTCTTCCGCCGTAAACAGACTGCTGCCCCCCTCCCAAAACGTCGAGCCGTTGATAATGATGAACACACAAACAGGCCGCGGCGGCTACGTCCGTGTCTGTACGACACTCCATCTGAATTGCATATCCGCCCTGCCGCTGAGATTGTCATAAGCCGTATTAAGAAAAATGGTCACGCGGTTTGACACAAATTGGAAAATGACATTTGGAAAGCGCCGCAGCGGTGGAAATTAGAGATATTAAAATTATAAATCAATGTCTGGGTAGAATGAATGGATGGGGGGGCGGGGGTTAAAGGTCCCTTCATGACTAGGGCTAATCTGAATCCACCCGGGCTTTGATTGTTCATCCACTGTCCACTCGTAAAGAAAGGAGGGGAGGATATTGTTTCTTTCCTATGGAGTCAAGTCAGCTTATTTAGCGGCTCCAACACCACAACCTGCTAATGGATCATCTCAAAGGTGTGATATGCATTATGCAAAGGCATCCACTTGACACTTTTAACGAAGTCTTTCCTCCCTGTGCGTCTCACCTTCAGTTGCCTTTTTTCGTGTGTGTGTGTGTGTGTGTGTGTAGGAAGAGGAGCATCGGCTGAAAGTGCTGCAGATTGATGAACTCCAAAGAGAGGTTGACAAGACACTGGCACTGCTTGAAAAGGAGAGAGAGGTCAGCAAACCACTTCTTAATAGCCGCTCGCATGCACTTTTATGCGGAAACGTAAGCATGTACCTCCAAGTTCATAATTCTTTCTTTAGTATTTTTATTCTTTTTTCAAAGTAAAAGGGTCTCAGAAGGTCTCTGAAATCCTTGAGTCTCTTGCTGTGCCCTCGCACCCTTGATAGAACACTTCGCCACATTGACATGTTGCTTTATGCTCACCTGAGCTCTGAACATCTGTTGCGTTGGTATTGTTAATACACTGGTTGAGAGGAAGCTCAGGGATCATACTTTGTTGTCTGATTTCTCAGTTTGACCTTCAAACCTAAGATTGAGTGTTTTTATGCTACAAGTGTTCTCAACACTGGAACTCAATGCCATTTCAAGCACCTGTTGAGAGTTTGCTTTCAGTAACGTCTAGAATCAATCAAGACTATCTCAGGTCTGAAGTTGTCTTTCTCTCATAGTCAAATTATATTGGAAGAAAAGATCAAATTTAGTAATGATTTAAGTTTTTGATTTGATTATGATTCGTTGCACAATCAATCATCGTTGTCTATTATTATTAAAGGAGTAGTTCACTTTTAAAACAACTTTTGCTGATAATTTACTCACCCCCATGTCATCCAAGATGTCCATGTCATTCTTTCTTCAGTTAAAAAGAAATTAAGGTTTTTCATGAAAACATTCCAGGATTTTCTCCATATAATGGACTTCAATGGGAACCAAATGAGAGTTTCAGTGCAGCTTCAAAGGGCTTTAAACGACACCAGACGATGAATGCGGGTCTTATCTAGGAACCTTCGAGTCATGACTCGAAAAAAGATTCGTTCATTTTGATGAACGAGTTCGAACAGGAGAGTCACGAACGCTCACCACAGAACAGAGCAAGGCGAGCATTTAAGGTTATAAAACTTAAACTTTTTAATGTATTTTTTAAATGAGCGATCGTTTCGCTAGATAAGACCCTTTTTCATCGTCTGAAATCGTTTAAAGCCCTTTGAAGCTGCACTTAAACTCTCATTGGGACCTTGAACCGTTTGGTTCCCAATGAAGTACATTATATGGAGAAAAATCCTGGAATGTTTTCATCAAAAACCTTAATTTCTTTTCGACTGAAGAAAGAAAGACATGGACATCTTGGTGAGTAAATTATCAGCAAAAGTTGTTTTTTTTTAAAATTGAACTAAAATAGTTTTAAAATACTCCTTTAAATTTTAATTATGCTACCTTATAACATATGCTAAATGCACATATTTAGCTGTAGGGACAATGTACATTTGTGGAATATTTACAACAAATGAAACACCAGATTTTACATTTATAAGCATAACAATTGTATTTTTTATATGTATGCATAATAAATATAATCAGTTATTTAGTCACTGCTATTAATGCACTGAATTTTTACAATGAGTCCAAAATGTTCGCACTTTAAAGGGATAGTTCACTTTGAAATATATTTTTGATATGTTTTAGCTACCTCAACGGCATCCAAGATGTAGGTGTCTTTGTTTCCACAGTAGTTTCAATTTGGATATTTTTAGGTCAAACCGTTCGTGTCTGTCAGTCATATAATGGAGGTCTATGGTCACCACCTCAAAGGGCATGCACAGAGAAGTCCAAATTAAACATGATTTAAATTAACACGCCTTGTAGTCTTATCAGACCTTGCGTGTGTTTTTCTCTTCAAAAGAAGAACGATAGTGGAGACAATGCAACAAAAAGCCACTGTTACATTCTCCTGCAGTGTATCTAAACAGCAGAGGTCAGATAGATCATCTTCTTTTGGACACACTGTGCGTTTTCTTTACTTTCTTTAGCTTTTGTTCTTTTGCATTCATCCCTCAGCACCTCTTTGTTCTCTTCATCTCTCCCTCTCTCTTGCTGCAGGATTGTGTAAAGGCCGAGGAGCTGAAACGACTGAGAGAAGATCAACTCAAGGACAAGGTCTCTCAACAATCCACTGCCTATTAGCTTCTAAGCAATGTCTTCCTCACCGCAGTTAAGTGCCAGTCATAACCTTGCCATAATTTGAATTAGAGCTGCGACAGCACGTGTTTTTAACACAGAGACCCCACACACACGCCTATACAATCGGCAGTGATGGCTCCGCTCAAAAAAACGTCTAATATTATGACTGGCCCTAAAATGAGATGTAATATTAATGTGCTGCAGAGGCCAGATCTCTAGTTAACGCCAGTCACGCTCAACAGGCCACTATTGAAAAGATGCTCTGATAAAAACTGAGGTACAAAACGACGCATTTTCCAAGTTAAAACTATAATATGTAATTTTTTCGCCACTAGGGGTCGCTAACCTCTTACAATAACAAAGACGTAGGTTGATGACGCACAAGCGGAATTAAGGAAGTTGTCGTCGTGCCAAAGGCTGTTGACTGTGGTATGAAGTAGGGCATGATTGCTAATTAGAAAGATATCGGTCCCACACGCGACGCGAGTCCCGCGGATATAAAGGAATAAGGACATTTCATTCTACCGAACTACACGCAAATGCTGAATTAATACTCACACAGGTCAGTTTATTTGACGAATTAAATTTGTGAGGTAACGCAGCGCTGTTTCACTTGCTCTACACTAAACTACATTTGAGTGTGTTGAAAGTTATAATGTTATTATATGTGTTAGTTTGTCTAGAATAACATACTGAGCATATTCTAAAATTTCATAATGTTGAGCTATGTAACATTGATTAGTTTTATGTACATTAGCTCATCTGTCTAATAAAGTACATACAAGAGTGGCATCTCTGTCAAGTCGTGGAGCTCTCGGCATCTCGGAAACGCTACGCTAAAATTGATCCTCGTTTTAGTTCTCCTTTTGTCCCAAAGTCTGCTTGCCATGGTCCATAATGTTTGAACGAAACCACAACAGCGTGAGCGTGCCGCTAGACGTAACGCAGTTGTCCACGTCTGTCGCCATGGTTACTATGGCAGTACGAGCGGAAACCAGGGATAACGTGGATATTGCGTCATTGACAGGCGACAAGTGAACAGGGAGTCAATTTAAAATGGGAATTTCTCTGAAATGAAAAATCTTTGGACGATATTGCAAGTACACAACTGCAGGAAATATATCACAAGTGATTTTTGGATATTTTATTACAAAAATCGTACATATTGTAGCTTTAATAGAGGTTTTCAAGCTTGTTGATGCACCTAAACCCCAAATATAATGATTATCTTATAATGAGGACCCCCTTCCTAAAATATCAAGGAAACTATATTTTATATATCAACTACATATTTTATACCATATAACTATATATTTTAATTTTATATACTATATGTATAATATATTTCACTTTATTTTGCAGTGTCCATGTAACATGTTACATGTAGTTAATATAATTTATAATCCTAAACCAGACCCTATTCCTAACCCTTGTAAGTACATGTAGTTACTTAACTTTACTCAGTATGTAAATGCATAATTATACTGTAATTATACTGTATAATAAAGTGGTACCATTTTTTTTTTTATAAATGTACTTTTTACCGCTGTTTAATATACAAACCCCAAAAGAAACTACAGTATAGCTGTCAATAAAATAAGTATGGTTAATTTCATAATTTCTGACCAGTCTTTAGAAAGAAGAATGAATAAAATAATAATCAATTTGGAAAACTGAATTTATTTATATATAAATAAATAATATTTACATATTTTATATATATTTATTAATGAATAAATATATATTTTTATATTTTTCTATATATATTTATTTTTCTCAGAATATATTTTCTGTGGATGCCCCCCTAACAGCCTTTTCAACCTTTACTGGACACCAGTTTGAAAATTCATGAAGATGTTATAATAATAATAATAATAAACATCGTATGTGACTAATTTAATTATTTTTTACAATTTTTTTTTTCTGAACTTTTCCACCAATCCCTTTGCGGTCCTCTGAGGGTCCCTATACTCAATTTGAACTAGTTAACAAATCCGGTCTTTAGTATGCACTATAAACTAGCCGACCTCACCAACTGATTAGTTAGTTGTTGGAAGACTAGTTGTCCATTCTAATCCATCCTTTCCCTGAAGGGTGAAGTACACAGATGAAGTGTTGAGGTTTGATCGCACAATCCTTTGACCTTGACCTTTGACCCATTGACGCGTTTGGTCCACCTTTCCTTTCAAGCGCTCAATTTACTTCCACATGTGTATTATTTCCCACACACAAGTCCGTACAGACACAAAAATTGGACTGCATGCGGATGGTGTGTGTGGACATCAGTGGACAAGGGAAGCATACTTTTGGCCTTAGGTAGGCCGGACCCGTGTGAGCGTGAGGAGGGTAACCTGAGGGGAGCGCTCAGTCTTTCTTGTTTTTACACTTTGGCCCCCATGCACTTTGGGACCTCAGTAAAACAGCTGCTTCAAAGTGCGACCAGCCGCCACTTACTGCTGCGTTTTCCTCCGCTCCTCGGACAAGATTACTTTCCAAACACAACGCGGACAGCTTGATTAATAGAGGGGTCCGCCGAGGTGCCCGCCGCAGTATATTTTCACACTTACTTACGCTCATTTCATTCGCATAGACTTTCATGCGCTGATCCTTTCACCGCAGGAGTCTGTCGGTTCATAAAATACGTACGGGCCTTTGAGGCTGTCTGTGAAGACTCGTTGAAGATTCTAGATGTGTTTGAGAGCTGATGGACAAGGTCACTTCTCATCTGTGTGTGGACGTCAGTCACGTAGTGATGCAACATTCATTAAAAGGTCTATGTAAATGTAGTACTTCTTACTGAGGATTCTGTATATTTGGAGCTGAAGCTGTGATGTATGGTCTTCTGCTCAGTGTATTGGCCTTTTTGCGACTTTTATTTGTACAGACAGTGAGAGATAGGACAGGAAATTGTGGCAAAGATGAATGATATCTGGAAATGTTGCAAGCCAGATTCAAATTTGATTTGCCCACATGAACACAATGGACCAATGTGTCAACATGAGGCCAAAGCTCCAACAGAGTAGATATATATTAGGGCTGTCAGTTAAACACGTTATTAACGGAGTTAACGCAAACTCATTTTAACGGCGTCCATTTTTTTATTGCGCGATTAACAGTCTTTTTGGCCTAGCAAACTTTGTAGGTTTTTTTTTCATATGCTTTTGCAACAGGGATGCGGCATGCCTGGCGCTGCGCTATGAAACCCATTCATTTCAATGGCTTGCGCCGAACGAGGACGTTTTGTTGCTCCGTTGACCAAAGCGCAAACAAAAAAAACAGGCACGCCGCACACACTCGTTTTCCAAATAGTTGGTTAACGTTACGTTTTGAGTGGATGACGAGCGTGAGACGCCGAAATGGATGCCAATAAGATTCTGAATGGAAACTTTACTTTACTAAAAAGTTGCCAAATGGTTCAATTGACAAGACCAAAGTGATCTGTGGGTTTTGTCGTCGTGAACTGAGCTATCATCATCGCAGCACGTCCAGTCTGAAATACCACTTGATTGCCAAGAGCACACACACACACACACACTGATGATGCAAATTCTCCGCCCCCTCGTCAATATCAGGACCTCGTCAGTATTTCTTTCCCCTTTTATTGATGGACAGTGTTACATTGAGAGATTATTTGCTCCAAGTGAGAATGTTTGTGTGAAATTGAACACAGTATATGCCAATGTTGTTTTCAATAAAAAAAAAAAAAAACATTTGCACAAAGCAAGCCGATCCACTTTTCCGTGTTGATAAGAACATTAAAATGAGAAAAAATAATGAGAAAAAGAAATCAAGAGACATTTAGAATAGATAAAAATGTGCGATTAATCGTGAGTTAACTACGACATTAATGCGATTAATCGCGATTAAATATTTTAATCGTTTGACAGCACTAATATATATATATATATATATATATATATATATATATATATATATATATATATATATATATATATATGTGTGTGTGTGTATATGTTTTAATAATTTGAAGACAGAAATCCACTCTGTCATGGAAAGTATTGGTCAAAACATATGGAAACCCTGTATAATTTAAAACCTAACAAACTTGAAACTTGAAAATCCTGATATCTTGTAATGTAAGTCAATGACATCTTTATAACCGTATATCAGATTACCTACAGTACATACAATGCATAGTTGTCACACTATATCTTCCAATAGTACGTCTTAGTAAGATGATATTTAAATTAGGGCTGTGCAAAAATTAATTGCGATTAATCGCATCCAAAATAAAAGTCTGTGTTTACATAATATATTTGTGTGTGCTGTATATAATTATTTTGTATATATAAATACCTACGCATGCATGTATATATTTAAGAAAATGTGTTATTCATATATAAAATATTTATATTTATATAATATAGATTATGTATTTATATATAAATATATATATATATATATATATATACAGAATTTAAGCGCAAATAATTATTAAATATATACATGCATGCATAGGTATTTATATATACAAAATAATTATATACAGCACACACAAATATATTATGTAAACACAGACTTTTATTTTGGATGCAATTAATCACAATTAATTTTTGCACAGCCCTAATTTAAATGCTTATTTTTATGATCAAAGCTGTGTAGTTTTAAAACAATAATGCAGTGCAATACAATGCGGATTGAGAATTGAACAAATAAACATTCCTCAAAATCCTTATGAATCATATTTGATACTCATATTTTAACATGATTTTACTAAAAAAAAAAAGTATGTATTGATAATCCTGTAAACCTAAGTAGCTTTTGTTCAGAAAGTGTTCATCATGAAATAGAAATATAAAAATTATTCTTACATTTACTTTATAAAAATCAGTAAATATTTCACAACAAAAAAACAGACCTGAAGGTGGACCGTTTTAAAATGATACTAAAAGACTTTTTAGTTACTAAAAAAGCTTAAGCTATCAATCTGAAAACAAAGGGATATAGTAGATTGTGTACAACAGTTTTTTTCAGCAAAGTTTTGATCATATTGATAATTTTGTAGGAATATGCACATCAAATATCATACAGGCTTCATGGGGTTAAAGTAATTGGTACTCTGTTTGATATGTTTTGTTATTGATATTTGCTGGCACTGTACATGCATGTATAAAGCTTCCTGTACATGTGTGTGTAGGTCAGGCATCAGGAAGAGCTGACTGCAGAGTTACAGAGACGATTTGACCAGAAGGAGAAAGAGCTAAAGGAATGGAAAGAGCGATGGCACTCCGTCTCAGAGAGTCTCCGGTACGCACATACACAGCTCCAGCAGACCCAGGACAGCCGAGACCGGGCCGTCAGCAGCCTGAAACCACAGCAGGAGAAGACCTGCAGTCTGCAGGGGGATGTGGACACACTCCATATAGCGGTGAGGGCAGGGGAACGACACAAGAGGGGAAAACGGATAAAAGTCATGGTCAAAAATGAATTAAATTCACATATTTAACAGTAGGACTTTATGCATGTGTGATTTGTGTGATCAGTTTGAAATCAAACCCTTAATGAGTACAGGGATTTTAATCATCATCTGTCTACAAAAAGCTGTATTTTCAATCATACAGTTTAGTTTCAAGTATATTTATATTTTGATTAAAGAGTTGTTAAGTCAGCAAAAAAAAAAATATATATATATATATATATATTAACCCATTCTATGTTCTAAATGCATGTTATTGACCTTACTGTCAACGAATCCTCCTGTTTTTATTTTATTTATTTATTTTTTTTTTTTTACCATAATTTTTAATCAAAATGTCATAACTGGATCTTCCAGTTAAACGACGAATTTCTCTCTGGTGACATATACCAGACTTCTCTAATCATCATGTCATCTTAAACCCGCCCCTTTCTTACAATCTGCAGTAAGTTCGCATGCAGATCTGCCTCCATCCATTCAAAAACGGATGAATTAAACAGTCACGCTCTGTATTTAAAAAATAAATAAATTATAATCTGTTTCTGATGTCAAATATTTTTTGTGTCCATAATAATATTGTCCTTGTGCATTAGATAAACTCAAGGAATTAATTATTACTTAAGATTATACCCTTCACATGACCCCAAATACCAACCAGACTCACCATAAATCCTGACAAAATGCTCCCAGGACCCCCTGCTGCTTGAATTTGTGTCATGTCCTCCTTCATAATTACTGTAGGCAATAATATTAGTCGGTCTATTCTCCGCTTTATATCTGCATACACTCACAGAAATGCACTAAAATCATATTTTATTTGAAGTTGGATCATTCTGTTTGGAAAAAAAGGGGGGAATGGTACTTTAGCAGATAATTATGTGTAATCCGCAATCATTTCCAATAATAACAGACAAAGTGGTTTGAGCCCACGTTATCCATTTGCCATTTAATGTGAGAAAGGCTGTTGCTCGCTCCCTAAAAATTGAACCATTTCCTTAAATCGTCAATTTGCCCTGTATCCAGAATGCGTGGAGGGCAGAAAGAATGGGACTTTATATTCCAGTACTGTCCTCATATAGAAAAGATTTTTTTTTTCTCTCTTTCTTTGTTTTGAACCCTGCTGTTTATAATTGAAGCCTGTTCTCTACGTCTTTTAGCCTGGTCAGCATGAGGACAAACTGGAAGCTTTGAGTCAGGAAACAGAATTCTTGAGATATACTTTAACTCTCTTTTGTTCATTGTGGTTGCTTTTTTTTGATCCAGAATCAAGTAAAATAATTAACATTGTGAAATTGTTATCAAATGGTTCAAATTTAATAGAACAGTTTTCTATTTTAATATATCTTAATGTCATTTATTTCTGAGCACACACACACATACATGTATATACCACATGTAATTCATATTCATTATTAATAATATGAATAATTAATATTAATAAAATTATTTATATTAATATAGAATACATATTATTTCTGATGTGTGTGTGTGTATATATATATATATATGAAGAGTTCAGATGCAAAAGCCTCTAAATGCCATTTGAAATTTTCTTCTTTAATGATGATTTTTGTCAAGCTTGTATATTTAAGTTCAGTAATTTCACTTAAATAACAATAAATAGGTAATTATCATTGCCATTCAAGTGAAATCACTGAACTTAAATATACAAGCTTGACAAAAATCATCATTAAAGAAGAAAATTTCAAATGGCATTTAGAGGCTTTTGCATCTGAACTCTTCATATATATATAATATGCATGCATGCAGAAATTTGAGGTGGAATAGAATCTTCATGCATATTCATCATTAAATTAATTATTATATATTCCTCATTAGGCACTTCACTAGTTTTATCTTTGAGTCCCTTTTCACAAGCGTGTAGGAATCTGAAAATTGTTGAGGGCCAACTAATCATCTAAGCTCATGAATATGAAACGCATGACAGTTGCCCATTAGTCATACCTGATTTGCTGCAAGGCAGACATTGGTAAATAGATGCTAACCATTGCCACTTTACACCAGAGGAGGCCTTTGCAATTCAGAGGCCCTTTTCAAACAAGTTTCAAACAATGTATGCAATGTGACTGTGAATACTTTATTATCCACGCATTACAATCCCGACCAAAAACAAAATCAACATTCAATCTCCGTCACTCTCTCAACCCCTCAGCGATCTCATAACGTCTTGTTCAATTGGCATTTGGGGGTGTGCGGACAATATTTATTGAAGCTTGGTGGACCCCAGCTATGATTTGATCAATCGCGGGTGTGAGATATAAATATATAAAATGAAACTATCAGAAAAAAAGTCTTAAACAGTGAGTCATTCATTCATTAATTCAGTTAAACGATTCCATCAAAACACACAATGGTTCTACTCTGCATTTGTTGCAAAATAGAGCAAAAACAGGTTCTAAGTCTAAATTGAGCATTAACTACTTGTTTTTTGAACTGTTGTGTAAAATCAACACCATAACATTTGCAATCATGGTGATATTGGGGAAAACAGCACTCTATATCCTGATAAAAATATTAAAGCAACACTATGACACCGTCAACAAAGCAGCAAGCGAGGAGGCGTCGTATGGTCATTTAAATGGGTTTTATGACGTGGTCGGTGAGGATGGGGAAAAATCTTACATTTCTGTGTAAACTGCCCGTCGATAAAATAATAGTTGTCTATGGTTGTAGATGGGCTGTGGCAATAATAATAATTAAAAAAAGCTCTCAACATATGGAGAAAAAAAAAGAACTATAAATGAACTATTTCATTTTTTGAAGTATGAAATATGAACTGAACTAGTTCATTTTAAAATGTGTGAACTGAACTTTGAACTAGAAAGCGAACTTTCCCAACACTGGTGACGGTAGGCTAAATTGGTAACACTTTACAATAAGGTTCGTTAGTTAACATTAGTTGATGTATTTACTAACATGCACTAACCATGAGCAATACATTTGTTACTGCATTTGTTCATCTTTGTTAATGTTAGTTCATTAAAATACAGCTGTTCATCATTTGTTCATGTTAGTTCACGGTGCATTAACTAATGTTAACAAGATTTTAATCAAGTATTAGTAAATGTTGAAAATAACATTAACAAAGATTAACAAATGCTGTATATGTGCTATTAATTATTAGTTCATATTAACTAATGTAGTTAACTAATGTTAACTAACGAACCTTATTGTAAAGTGTTACCGCTAAATTATTTATGACGGCGGTAATGGACAATTTCGTTTCCAACCAGGAAAAGTTCCATGGTGTTGCTTTAAAAACAAGAACTCAAATAGGGACATTTTTGCCTCATATATCTTGATTTTTGAGGGGCATTCGCGGCCCGTTTCAAGTGAAATATAGCAAAAACCGCTACTGCTTTACCAATGCTAATGTTTGACAATAGCTAGTCTTGCATAGCCAAACCACACATCTACACTTACTCCTGAGATCTCTCAACATGGGGATAGGAGAGCTGTCAGGCAATTAATGGGAGCACAAAGTAACTTGCATTACTTATTTAAGAAAGTAACTCCGATATGTTGCTGTAAAGGTAAAAGTAATGCATTACTTTACTAGCTACTTGAAAAAAGTTATCTAATTACGTAATTTGCGGTAATGCATCACGCCCAACACTGGACGTGATTTCTGAGGCTGAGACTATAGACGGTTTGTTTTCTGAGAGAGAAGGTGCTTAGAAGTTCTCCAATACTTGTTGCCACGAACCTGCCTTTTTTACTTTTGCATGTTTTACTTTGAACTAGTTTTATTGACTGTTTACCCAGTCTGCCGCTCAATTGGAATAAACAAGTGCAGTGTAATGTGTGGTGCAGGGAAAGCCGCTAGCAGGTCTAGATCAGAGAGAGATCAGAGAGAGTTTAAGACTGATGAGCATCGATACACTACCTGATACTACACCCTCTCCAGCCTCCATGATCTGCACATCAATAAACACATCCACTGACCAACATGATGCAACCTGGCCTACAATAACACATCTTGCATCTCTGTTCCTAAGCACCAACAGCTGGTTGAAGAGGAGTCCACGGTCTCCAGGCTTCATGAAGCAGAGACGCAGAGGGATCTTCTGGCCTCCAGAATCGCTGAGATGAACTGTGACATCCAGCATCAGGAGAAAGACTGCAAGTGGCTCATAGAGCAGGATGAGGTACAGCGCACCACATACTTTGGTAAAACTGTCTGGTAAGGCTCCTGTCGAGTAAATGCTGTCTGTGTGGTAGGCGTCCGATAGAGACGAGAAGGTTCTGACGAGAGGTCTGACCTCTACACACGAGGAGGTGAGGAAAACCTGTCAATCATTTCGTCTGCTCATCTTTCGTCTGTTTTTTTAAGGTAAACACATATTTTTTTGTGTTAAAAAAACTCTCTTATGCACACTAAAGCTGCATTTAAGATTTAGGTGTCTTTGTTTCTGCAGTAGTTTCAATTTTTATATTTTAAGGTCAAACCGTTCATGTCTGTCAGTCATATAATGGAGGTCTATGGTCACCACCTCAAAGAGCATGCACAGAGAAGTCCAAATTAAACATGATTTATGACTCGTAAATGGAAGTACACATTGATGGCCTAAGACACGAAAGAAGCGATTTGCGTGAGAAACGAGTATTTATATCGTTTTTACAGTACCTCTTGTAACCACAGCCACAAAGCACCCGCGCCCTCAGATCACTTGGACGTGGCTGTGGTTACAACACTCTCAGAAAAAAAAGGTACAAAAGCTGTCACTGGGGCTGTACCTTTTCAAAATGTAAACTTTTGTACCCAAAGGCTGCATATTGGTACCTTTGTGGTACATATTAGCACCTAAAATGTACATATTAGCACCTGAAATGGACATATTAGCACCTAAAATGTACATAATTAGCACCTAAAATCTACATATTAGTACCTAAGATGTACATATTAGCACCTAAATGTACATATTAACACCTAAAATGTACATATTAGCACCTAAAACATACACATTAGCACTTAAAATGGACAAAAGTTTAACTTTTGAAAAGGTACAGCCCCAGTGACAGCTTTTGTACCTTTTTTCTGAGAGTGAAGAGGTCAAAACGTTTTCTCACAAAAACCGCTCGTTTTGTATCTCAGGCCATCAATGTGTACTTACATTTACGAGTCATTAAATCATGTTTAATTTGGACTTCTCTGTGCATGCTCTTTGAGGTGGTGACCATAGACCTCCATTATATGACTGACAGACAAGAACGGTTTGACCTAAAAATATCAAAATTGAAAATACAAAGACACCTACATCTTGGACCCTTGAGGTAAGATAAAACATATCAAAATTTTAATTTCAAAGTGAACTATCCCTTTAAAAGATGGTGCAGAAAGCAAAAATAGATATTATTTCGTTTGCAAATTTGGCCTAAGCAGGTTAGTGCGTCTTCCTTGGATTTTTTCGTAAAGAAGATGTAAGCTGGTCAGCAAGAAAAATCAGGTATTGCAAAACTGGCCTTAGATCAGAAGGATGCATCTGAAGGTCTCCGTGGGCCGAAAGCGGACAGGATCAAGGACACGGGCCGTCCAGTCCATCCACACTCACTCACGCACTAAAGATGGACCTGACGCCCGCACGTCTCCCGCTTCCCTGTGTCCCAAGCTTTTGCATAACTTGTCAATTGAAGTTGAAGGCTGTACTGGTTTATTTATACATGTCTGACTGGTCAGTTACAGTATTTGTTTGGCAGAGTGTCCTTGGATGTTTTAAATGGGACAAACCTGTCACTTCAGTGCAGACTGGATGTTTTGAGTTCTTTGAGAGATTTTTCTTTTCCATATTTATTAATTTATTTTGACTTTTTTTTTTTCGAGCGAGCTGTGAATTATGCATTGGATTTTGCTCCATGTACTGTTTTTATCATTAGCATTCAGCCCCAGTTATCTTCCGAACTTATGAGTGCCTGTGAAATGTTTGTGATGTTATTTATTTATGTTGCCCTCTCAATTATTCATTTGTTTATTTATTCATGGCAGAACTAACTGCAATTGGAAAATTCATTTTTGCTGAAGGGCACATCCCCCCCCCCACCCCCCACCCCACCACACCTCAATCCGCTCCAACTCCTCTTGCATGAAGGTTTGTTAGTAACTGCTTCATGTGGCATTTCCTAAGACTCAAGGGGAGATGTCATTTTAATCCAAGCAGACGGCTGAAGAGACAGACACGGAGAGAAAGAGAAAGAGATTATCTTTTTCGCACTATAGAGGCGATGGTGCGTGATTATAGAGAGGCATGTAATGAAAGAGGGATGAATTTGACAGGCCTTATATATCCACGGCCCTACATGTCTCTGTGCCACAGCTGAAGTCCCTCAGGCCTCTGTGCTTCCCTGCGTTTTCTGGACATATTTATTTATAATAAAAAAGGCTTTATTACACTTATATCAGATGTCAATAAAGGTAATCTCAGCTGAATTTAACAGAGTTTGCCATGCTTAAATATTTTCCACATAGCATTATATATCATATAATATATATAAATTACCTACCGGTCTAAACTTTAGAATATATATATATATATATATATATATATATATATATATATATATATATACTGTATATATAGCATTAAATATCATATATATATTTAACAGTTATTTTTAAATTGTAATATTTCACAATATTACTGTTTTTACTTTTTTGGTCCCACTTTATATTAAGAGGCTTTAAGTACTATGTACTTACATTTAAAAATAAGTATAATGTACTTATTGTGCTCATGTTGTATTGTAAAACACTTTTGCTGCTATTGAGGGTAAGGTTAGGGAGAGGTGTGGTGGTATGGGTAGGTTTAAGGGTAGGTTAAAGTGTAAGGGATGGGACATCTGTAATTACATAAATTAGTTACAGCTGTAATTACATGCTGGTATTTTTAAAAATATAAGTACAATGTAAAAACATGTATGTACAGTATAAGTCCATTGTATCAAATTATTCGTTTCAATGTAAGTACATAGTACTTAAAGCCACTTAATATAAAGTGGGACCACTTTTTTAAATCAAATTAATGCAAACTTAATTTATCCCGGTTTTGACTGGTATTGTCTGTATATACTGTTGTTTTTTTTGTTTTTTTTTGTGTGTGTGTGTGTGTAATTGTGTATATTATATATATATATATATATATATATATAAGTTGTTTGCTTAGATCTATGGCTTCATTATACTTTATTAAAAGCTACCAATAATCATAATACTAAGGAATCTTAGCCAAAAACATAGTTTACCTTGTTGTCCCATACTTATTATTTAATAATTTTTATACTGAGATTTATATGTTAACAGATTTTTCCTCAAAATCATGACTTAAAATGCGTAAAGCAGAATCCGGAGATTTCTAGGCGATTATGAGTTCCTAATCTCTAGATACTGGCACTAGCTATCAAAAATCCACATTACTTGACTATTAAAATGCATTAAATATTGTCATTGTGTGGCTGTGGCGTGTGTTTAGCTCGCAGAGCAGATGCAGGAGGTCCCATCGAGGAGAGAGGAGGTTGTGGCCCTGCAGGAGGAGTTGAGCAGGCTTCAGGAGATCCTGAAACAGAGAGAGGAGGTGATAGAGAACAACAAACACAACACAACACGGCTCCAGCGAGAGACAGACTCTCTTTACAAACAGGTAAACACACTAAAAATCTCAAATTGGCCAGTCTGGGTATTGAGAGCTGAAAGAAAACTTGGTGTAAGCATGAGTTTGGTGGTGTTGTTACGCTGAAGGGTGTTTGTGAGGTCTCCGGTGAGCGCGCTCACGTGTAATATTTCCTGTCGGCTGCATCGACAAACCACACATAGGCATAGAATTCCAATTAACTCCCTTTAATTAGGCCCTCCCTTGCTCATGGCACAGTTCCTTCATTTATTTTAATCTTGTTTATGCACCTTGATTGTTTCACAATATAGATTTTTTTTAATTAGGCAAGATTGATTAAATTGCATTGATTCTCTGTCCTTATTAAAATACCCTCACCCCCACCCCACTCTACTCTCTCCAAACTGGTGTTATTTTTCATTATTAGTGGTTGTGCCTTCAGCTTGGCTTTAAGTGTGTGTGTGTGTCTCATGAAAATAATGTTTATCATACTTTATTACAGCATCTGAAAGACTGTTGTATTGGCAACCACTTCATGAGCCAGCAGAGGTTTCATTAGAAGCGTGTGTGCTGTTTATTAGTCGCAGTTTCTTACAGAATTGCTCCGAACTACATTAAACCAAAGAATACTGTTTGTTTTGTTCAGTTAAAATTTAATAACGTAACAACACATTCATATGTTCACTGTTCTCTGGTCACATGACAGTGCAAGTAAACTGATCAAATATTTTATCTTTTATTAGTAAGCGTTTTAGGTTACACTATTTTAAAGCGTCCGTGTTATGTAATGATACATTGAAGTACTGAGTAATAACAATTAACTCTGTGTACTTATAGGGTTAGGAATAGAGGTTGGTTTAGGGTTAGATGCATGTAATTGACCTGTGGCTAAGCCACGCCCCCTCCACTCACTCGGACAAACAGTCAACATTCAGAAACAGGCGGTATGGCAGCTGTCACATAGGAGGCATTTCATATGAGGCAAGTGGTGATTTTTGGAGACAGAAAGATTATATATCATCTTGAAATCACCTATAGGGCCATAGCTATGCATTAGAGCCAGACCGATATATCGGCAGACCGATATTATCGGCCGATATTAGGCATTTTCCAAACTATCGGTATCGGCAGTTATAATGGCCGATAAATGAATATTTTAAAAATAACATAAAAACAGACGAAACACGCTTGAACCATGTCATGAGTGTTGGAGTTGTATAGTTTGTCCACCAGAGGGCACTCTACATCGTTCCTGTTGGCAACACTCGTTGAATTGTTCACGATACATACATTGCTTGAATAACAATTAAAAGATCATCCCCATCAGTTCTCTTAACTCAAATAAGCATGACAAAATTTGTGACCATCATGCCCAGTTTAAAAAATATATTTTTTTTTTATATTATCGGAATATCGGATTTTAAAACCCAAAAATATTTGTATCGGTATCGGCCTTCTTTATCGGTCGGGCTCTACTATGCATTGGAGGGTTATATTAATAATTTGTTTGTTGAGAAGGTCGATGAAAAGCTTCAGCTCCAGGAAAAAATGTACAGGTCACACAGTGTAAACATGATAAACCACATATCGTTGCCATCACCGTTTGGTGCTACAGTATTTACATTAATCATTCAGCACAACATTGTTAACGTTTGTTATCCTGGTAATTTACAGACACGTTAATGAAGCTAAGTGGCATGATGTACAACGCAGCTAGAAGTTAACGTTTTCTAATGTTAGGCGAAGACTTAAGTTAGAGATTTTAAAGATGACGTTCAAATACGTTGTTGACTCAACTTAGAACAGATGTAGACATCCTTGTTTAATTTATCCACGTTTAGTTGGTGGTCTACCGCATAACTTAATCCAGAGCAGACACTTAAGTTTTCTCGGTTGAGATGTGGCTTGGGAAAGGAACAAAAAAAATACACACCGTCACCCAGCCTCTCAGGAACCGAGTGTTGGAGTTGCATGTACCCCATGCACACCGTTTGACCATTTTAAACTTAAAATGACAAGAAAAAACGAATGAAAACTGACTAACTGCAATGCATTTCAATGAACGTGGAAGCAGAGAATATCCGAGTGGATTGGGTATTGGTAGAACCGAGTGTATAGGGGATTATCACGCTTCCGGGTTTCATGGGATGCTATTTATGTCACTGCTCTGTTCCACTTTGTTAATCTAACCAACAACGCCAACCCTACTTAAGTTTTCATGGATTCCTGACTGAATTGAGTATAAGGAAGAAGTGGATTAAAACTTTAAAATAAAACAAGGTAGCATGTTTGTTTGCAGCCGGCACTAATTTACCTGGGATGCCGTATAAATAAACTTAGTGTAGTCCGTCATCAGTTCGCCAGTGAGATCGGTGATTCAACGGAAGTGGCAGTGCACAAAGATCACAGAATCCGGAAGTAGCCTACTACGTATCAGCGTGATAATCCCCTATTGGATATTGGCAGAACACTGCGAAAGTCTGTCCACAAAAATGTTGTAAATGTGTAAATACAATAAGCCTAGCGCATGCAGCCTTCCTAAATGCACTTTAAACTTGCATAAAACACATAGCATGTGCTTAAAAACACTTCGAACACTCCATAACAACCAAATCATCTGTCGTTGGAGATAACACAGTACAAGTAACACGAGTTACATAAAAAGATTGCTTTTTTTTTTTCTAAAAACAACCAAGCAAGTCCAACCTACATGACCAAAAAGTAACAACATTACTTTCCATAAAAAGTAACTAACACAATCAGTTACTTTTTTAGGGAGTTACACAGTTTAAAATGCTTGCGCTCAGGGGCACAACTACCTAGTGTCAGAGGGGTATGCAGCAACAATTTTCGCGCAAAAATTTTATATAACATTGAAGAAATGCAGAAATGATTTAGAAAAGCATAACGACAGCTACATATAGAGATACAATATATGAAGAGTTCAGATGCAAAAGCCTCTAAGTGCCATTTGAAATTTTCTTCTAGAATGATCATTTTTATTAAGCTTGTATATTTAAGTTCAGTAATTTCACTTAAATTGCAATGAAGATTACCTATTAATTGTCATTCAAGTGAAATTACTGAACTTGAATATATAAGCTTGATAAAAATGATCATTTTAGAAGAAAATTTCAAATGGCACTTATATTTTTTTTTTATTCGTTTATTTTATTTTATTTTTTACCATCGCTATGACGCCCCCCATGGTGCTGCGCCCCTATGTGCATATTGCGCATACCCACTTTTTGCGCCACTGCTTGCGCTCTTTAAAGATGGGAAGATTCTTGTTGGCTGAAAAAAAAATCTGAAAGTAATTCGAACAAAGTAGTTTGTATGTGTCATTATCGTTATAGTTGGGGTTGGACAACTGTATTCTCACAGATTTAGAACGTTAATTAAAACTTTATAGTTATCGTCCTTGATGGGAATGGGCCTTGAGGGCCAGATTTACTAAACAGGGCAAATTAGCGTGAGAGCCCAATCTACTGACGACGCACAAATTATAGAACAGAGATGCAGTCAGATCATTTTCATAATGACCAACGCAATCTACCAGGTAGCGTCTGGTTTAAGGCTTGTTTTTTTTGCCAAAAAAACAAGTCTTCTTAATGCCAAAGGCACACCCTCTCAATGCCAAAAGAGGGTTTGTGTTGGAGTAAGCTGTTAGTAAATCTGGCCCTTAGTGTCTTGTTGGCAAATTTTGCACAGGCAGTCAACACTGATTTTGTTTACAAAATGTAAAAATGTAATTATCTTTCGCAGTGGCGTTAGATTATCATAGTAGATTGTTGTTTCAGCAAACACTGACTGCTTGTCTAACACTTGAGGACCTCTAGAAGATCCAGTTCTGCCACAGCGAGCATCTCAACCTCCTTCTGTTTGCTTCACCTGATAAACACTTGATGCTGATCCGTAGAATTTTTAATCATGAAGCGAAGCTCAGCTCTTTTAATTTTGATCGATGACTCCGTTTATCCTTTACATAACACACACCCGTCTCTCTTCTACCGCTCCACCTCTCTCAGCATCCCTCCGCCTGGAATGAAAATTATATTAGAAACTAAATGAGATTTGAAATTGTGTGTTTGACAAGTGACTTGATGACAGGGTTTTATTGCAGGGCCTGATCCATGGAAATTTTATGCTAATAACACTGCTGGCCAACCGATCTGGTATGAAATTAATCAGTGGCGGGAAAGAACGAGAGAGCTCCATAAAATGGGTCTACCCTTCCTCTCTCTGTCTGAGTCTCATCTGAAATAGCCATGGGCTGTTGTCTGTGTGATGAATTTGGGACTGAAATGGGGACTTCGAAAATTACACTGAGCTTAGCACTGATTCATGCTGTAATGCCGCCACGCAACACACTGCCGTCAACTCTCACAGACTCGAGAAGGTGCACTTTGTCATTTTTTGTTTACGTTGCTCTGGCCCATGTGTCATCTCGGTTAAGACTTATACTGACACCTAGAGGTGTGGATGAAGAAATGCTTTTAGTTAATAATGCCATTATTGTAGAAATGCACCAATGTTAGTCAAGTCATGATTCATTTATTCTATATAGAGAGTCATGATTCATTATAGAGAACAAAAAGGGGTTACAGAGATGAAGTGATTGGGGGTTAGAAAGCTGGTCATGTCCACTCCATGTAAAATAAAAAATTTTATTAGGCTTCTGATATACTGAAAAAGCTCATTTTTCAAAAGTCCTGTTGTATGAGTCAACTTGTTTACTTCTCCGAAACCGTCATTCAGCTGTCGCAAAAATATTTCATAATTGTATTGTTCATTCATTCGTTCGTTTGTTTGTTCATTCGTTCGTTCAGTTTTTGGGTCATTTTGTAGGAAAAAACACCCACCAATAATCATGATGTACTTATGTAATTGGTGTTAACGACAATAAAAGTACAATTACCTGCTATTAATGATGATAATATGTAATTTTAATACAATATTTTTTTCACTAATTGATTCTATTTTACATGGCCTTGCAAGACTGACTGCTTAAACCCTCTAAATGTCATTCA